CATTGATGTATGCTTTCTCAAAGAAACCAAAAATCAAAGTAGGACTTGATATTAATATCAGAGTTAGACAGTACAAGATAATAGTAAAAAAGAAGTGTTCTTTCATACAACACAAGTATTCAGTATCTGTCTATATTTCTCAGATGAGGTATTATGTACACTATTTACATTATTTGGACTATTGTCCTCATATTTGCTGCCATATTTATCACAACGTTTCGGCTGTTGTACGCTCTTGGGGTCCTGTCACTGGATCTAACTAATGCCTTTATCTACTGTGCATAAAGGCATTGGATCCAGTGACAGGACCCAATGAGTGAGAGTTCAATACCCGGTTAAGGCAGTGGAGAACTTTCAGAGGGAAATTAACAGGTGATAACTGACATCCATTAAACATGGCACGTGGAACTAGAACAGTCTACTCCAGTGAACAAAATAAAGGGTTCAGTTCGACATTACAACCACCTGAAGAAGGCCAGAGCATACAACGACCGAAACGTTGTAATAAAATAAATATGGTGACAAAGATGAGGACAGTAGTCCAAATAATGTAAATGGTGAACAAAAGTATTAAACACAAAGTGAAGTTAAATAATACAGTGTGTACTGAAATATATTAAAACATCAAATAAAGTGAAATAATAGAAAAATACATATCCAGTTAACACAGATACAAAATTAAATAGCACAATACAGTTAAGACAAACAGGTACACAAAAACAGATACATGAACACACAAACAAATATGAGTGGGTGTATGTACACACTTGTGTATGCTTACACATACACAAGCATGTAGACACACACACACACACACACGTATGTTTATGTGTTCATTTATGTGTGTTTAACTGTGTTTATGTGTGCTTGTTCATGCATTTGTATGTGTATGCATACACATACATAGACATGTGCATAAGCACACACGTGCACAAATATACATAGACAAAAATTCCTATAATAACTTAAATTAAGGGGTCAACAATAAACCAAAGACCTATGAAGAAAGTGAAGAGACATGACACATAAAAATAAAAATTTTGAAATTTAAGAAAAAAAAAGTCATTTTAATAAATATAGAATTTACACCCAAGGAAAGCTGTAAAATGAATCAGAATTTAATTAATATTTGACAACCCAAGAAATTAGCATACAAATTAATTGCTCATTTATTTATTAACCATTAGCCCTCTGAATTATTAATATTACTTCCCTTTCCACTGTATTCTTTTTTAAGGTCTCTCAATTGCATTTTAGAAGAGGGTTCTGGTCATAACATAAATACAGTGTCAAATTGATCTCTGACTTCTTTTGCCCTCTGCATTATTAATATTACTTCCCTTTCCACTGTATTCTTTTTTAAGGTCTCTCAATTGCATTTTAGAAGAGGGTTCTGGTCATAACATAAATACAGTGTCAAATTGATCTCTGACTTCTTTTGCCCTCTGCATTATTAATATTACTTCCCTTTCCACTGTATTCTTTTTTAAGGCCTCTCAATTGCATTTTAGAAGAGGGCTCTGTTCATAACATAAATACAGTGTCAAATTGATCTCTGACTTCTTTTGCCCTCTGCATTATTAATATTACTTCCCTTTCCACTATATTCTTTTTTAAGGCCTCTCAATTGCATTTTAGAAGAGGGTTCTGGTCATAACATAAATACAGTGTCAAATTGATCTCTGACTTCTTTTGCCCTCTGCATTATTAATATTACTTCCCTTTCCACTATATTTTTTTTAAGGCCTCTCAATTGCATTTTAGAGAAGGGCACTGTTCATAACATAAATACAGTGTCAAATTGATCTCTGGCTTCTTTGCCCTCTGCATTATTAATATTACTTCCCTTTCCACTATATTCTTTTTTAAGGCCTTTCAATTGCATTTTATCAAAAGAGGGTTCTGTTTATAACATGAATACAGTGTCAAATTGATCTCTGACATCTTTTGACCTCTGAAATTATTAATATTACTTCCTTTTCCACTATATTCTTTTTTAAGGCATCTCAATTGCATTTTAGAAGAGGGTTTTGTTCATAACATAAATAGTTTCAAATTGATCTCTGATTTATTTAGCCCTCTGCATTATTAATATTACTTACCTTTCCACTATATTCTTTTTGAATGCCTCTCAATTGCATTTTAGTTCTGGTCATAACATAAAAAGTGGGTTCTGTCAATATTACTTCCCTTTCCACTATTATTTTTTTTAAGGCATCTCAATTGCATTTTAGAAGAGGGTTCTGTTCAAAATAAATACAGTGTCAAATTGATCTCTGGCTTCTTTTGCCCTCTGTATTATTAATATTACTTCCCTTTCCACTATATTATTTTTTTAAGGCCTCTCAATTGCATTTTTAGAAGAGGGCACTGTTCATAACATAAATACAGTGTCAAATTGATCTCTGGCTTCTTTTGCCCTCTGCATTATTAATATTACTTCCCTTTCCACTATATTCTTTTTTTAAGGCCTCTCAATTGCATTTTAGAAGAGGGTTCTGGTCATAACATAAATACAGTGTCAAATTGATCTCTGACTTCTTTTGCCCTCTGCATTATTAATATTACTTCCTTTCCACTGTATTCTTTTTCAAGACATCTCAATTGTATTTTAGAAGAGGGTTTAGTACACAAAATAAATAGAGTGTCAAATTGATCTCTGACTTGTTTTGCCCACTGCATTTTTAATATTACTTCCCTTTACACTGTATTCTTTATGAATGCCTCTCAATTGCATTTTAGAAAAGGGTTCTGTCTTTATAAATCAATTGATCTCTGACACTTTTTCCACTCTTCATTTTTTTAAGGCATCTCAATTCTTTTTTTGCCTCTTTTTTTAGAGGGTTCTGTTCAAAACAAATACAGTGTCAAATTGATCTCTGACTTCTTTTGCCCTCTGCATTATTAATATTACTTCCCTTTCCACTATATTCTTTTTAAGGCCTCTCAATTGCATTTTTAGAAAGGGTTCTGTTCATAACATAAATACAGTGTCAAATTGATCTCTGGCTTCTTTTGCCCTCTGCATTATTAATATTACTTCCCTTTCCACTATATTCTTTTTTAAGGCCTCTCAATTGCATTTTAGAAGAGGGTTCTGGTCATAACATAAATACAGTGTCAAATTGATCTCTGACTTCTTTTGCCCTCTGCATTATTAATATTACTTCCCTTTCCACTATATTCTTTTTTAAGGCCTCTCAATTGCATTTTAGAAGAGGGTTCTGTTCAAAACATAAATACAGTGTCAAATTGATCTCTGGCTTCTTTTGCCCTCTGCAGTATTAATATTACTTCCCTTTACACTGTATTCTTTATGAATGCCTCTCAATTGCATTTTAGAAAAGGGTTCTGTCAATATTACTTCCCTTTCCACTATTCTTTTTTAAGGCATCTCAATTGCATTTTAGAAGAGGGTTCTGTTCAAAACAAATACAGTGTCAAATTGATCTCTGGCTTCTTTTGCCCTCTGTATTATTAATATTACTTCCCTTTCCACTATATTCTTTTTTAAGGCCTCTCAATTGCATTTTAGAAGAGGGCTCTGTTCATAACATAAATACAGTGTCAAATTGATCTCTGGCTTCTTTTGCCCTCTGCATTATTAATATTACTTCCCTTTCCACTATATTCTTTTTTAAGGCCTCTCAATTGCATTTTAGAAGAGGGCTCTGTTCATAACTTATAAATACAGTGTCAAATTGATCTCTGACTTCTTTTGCCCTCTGCATTATTAATATTACTTCCCTTTCCACTATATATTCTTTTTAAGGCCTCTCAATTGCATTTTAGAAAGGGTTCTGTTCATAACATAAATACAGTGTCAAATTGATCTCTGACTTCTTTTGCCCTCTGCATTATTAATATTACTTCCCTTTCCACTATATTCTTTTTTAAGGCCTCTCAATTGCATTTTAGAAGAGGGCTCTGTTCATAACATAAATACAGTGTCAAATTGATCTCTGGCTTCTTTTGCCCTCTGCATTATTAATATTACTTCCCTTTCCACTGTATTCTTTTTTAAGGCATCTCAATTGCAGTAAACTTATTGTTAATTTCTCTCGAAGGTTTTTTCTGTTGACATAGCAGGAGATGACAACACAACTATGAAATTCAAACACACTATTGTTTAGGGATCAGAATCACCTACAGTGGCAGGATAAACATTTTGTACAGCAAATGAAGTCATATATGGAGTGATAGAGGTTAATGGATCCCTACATTTTTTTTTTATTCCTCTTTGCATCTAAAAGAAAGTATGTGATGTTGAGGGGGATTAGATCAGTATAAGATTCTCTCCAGAATTGTCAAAGAGAAGTAAAATAATATTTGACAAACAAAGAAATTAGTTGTAGCAATAAAGGAGGTAATCAAGTCTTACTGCCGAAAAACAAAAAAAATTGGTATTCTTCGTGCTGTCAAAAAAAAAAATCAGAATAAAGATCAGGTCTTGAAATAAGGTAAGTGTTTGTGTTCCTTTACCAATCCCAACTTTTCTTACTCCCCCCACCCCCATAAAAGAACTCTACTTTGGACCACAGGATGGTTTTTAGCTCTTCATGGGTAAAATGGCAGTTGTGCATTTCAAGTTATGTGAATTTTTTAACTTTTTGATATACGGTCTCTGTATTTTCTAATGTTTGAATTACGTGATTGACTTTTCACACTTGGATTCATGATCTTCTGGATTTGAATATCTCTATTGCTGTTTAACTGGTTGCATTCAAATTGGTAACTTAGTTCATTATTTTTTACCAAATTATAAACTGATCTTAAGTTTGTTTTTTAATAATAAACCTAATTTGTTCTTTCCTAGGAAAAAAAACATTCAAAATCTAATTTCCTCAGTACAGTCTTCATTTGGTTAAATACGTTAAAAGCCTATTGCAAAGAATTCAGTCTATAAGAATTCATAAAACTGACAACTGAATGGGCAAAAAGAATATTGAGTAATCAAGCTTGTTCTTTTGTCAGCTCTCATGAATAGAAAAGTTACTCACCTGCACTGTTGGTTCATAAAACTTGAAAACTGGTCTTTCTCAAACCTGTACAATAGAACTGTAGGCAGAATGAAGTCAAAGCAGATACGGATGCCATCAACAACTTCTCGACACATTGGGATGCTAAAAACAACAAAGAGTAATTTTTACATCAGAATTAAATTCTTTATAAAAAAAAAAAATTTAATAAAAATCTGCCTTATTCTCTTAGTAATTATCCCTTTTCACTGACTTTCAGTGCATTTTGAGAGTAAATATCTTAAAACAGAGTAAATCAAATGGGCCTTATCAGAATCTGAAATGTTTGGGGTTTTCAGATTTGATCTGGTTTGGTTGGGTACACATGGGGTTACTGGGAGTAAAAGAGAATGAGAAGATTTTAGTGAGGAGAAAGGACAATAAAAAAAAAAACAAAAAAAAACAGGTTCCAAGAAGACATAAGACAGCATTGCATTTCAATTTCTGCAGATTTTAGGTGGCAGGGAAGCAAGAAATCAGAAGCAAGTTCCACAAGCAAGAAGTGCAAAATAAGAAACTTTTAGAATAGAAGAGACAGTTGCATTTAGCTAGTTCAACAGTAAAATGGTGATTACCAATCTAGTGCTACAATTAAATTCATGAAGTCAACACAGCAAATAGAGCTCATCAAAACAATTGCCATGAAAATATTTGTAGAAAAGACAGAGAGAAACCACATCATGTCGGTGAGAAAATGACTGATGTTGAGATGCCCATCTTTGAATTTTAAGAATCTCAAGATATATAGCAGGAGCACCAGACCAGATGTGGCAGCAATATTCAATGCATGGACAAATGCTATATTTAAAATGTGCAAAATGGATTCCAACAAGAAAAACAGAAGCCATATTGTTTATCCTAAAGGAGGCCATGTGAAGTGAGGGGCTTAACCAATTTGGCATTGATTAAAGCCTTTCGTACTTTGTCAAAAAGACTGATAGGAAGAGAATTTGAAGGGTGAGAAGGTCCCTCAGAGTTCTTAAAGACTGGAACTACAGAGGAGGATTTCCAACAAGCAAGAAGCAGTGAGGCATTTATTGTAAAGTTTGGAGAGAACAAGAGCTAGTTCAAATGCACAGTACTTTAGGACAATTGCAGGGAGATACCATTGAATCCATAAACCTTGTGGGTTGGTTGGTTAGATTTCACTTAACAGTGTGTCAAACCTGAGGGGTGATTTTACACCATCAGATGATTTCTTTTTTTCCCTTTTTCCAATCATTGGAAGGGGGCTCAGTTTGGTAGCTACAATTTGTTTTAAATAATTGTTTAATTAATGAGTTTTTCTTATATACCCATACATAATTTTTAAAGGAATTTCAAAATTCCTATTTCTTTTAGAAACCATATTTGGCCTGGGGTAACATCTTTAAACAATGTTTTTATATCTGTAATACTGTCATATTTACTACATTGAAAGTGATAACTTTTACATTCAATCAGAATGTCCTTAACTGCCAATCTAAGATTATAACGTGCTCATCAAGGTACATCTTCAAATCTCAGGTGTACATGAGTTAGTCTTGGATGTCCAATATGAACTCTAGTTAGCACAGTGTCCTCTCTCTACCCTCTTAGTAGTTTTAGGTTTTCCTGTCTCACACTTGGTTGGTATTCATAAAGTTGGTTTTCTTGTCCCCTTGTGGGTGGAGGGGGGGGATCTAATTTAGAAATGATAGCAGAAACCATAGATGGAGTTATGTGCATATTACTCAGTAGAAACTATTCTAGGGGAAAGTTTTTCAGATAATTGCCTTCCTGTATTCTTTTTCCTTGAAAAAGAAGGGGAAAAAAAAAAATCACAGCATGTCCTACTTAATCCCTTCCTTGGATCCATCCATAATCCATGGGATTATATTTACAGTATTTATCATGGATAACTGCAAATTCTTCCATAAGTGTGATAGGATTTTGTCTTGTCTTTGAGTATTGTGTCAGATCCAATAGTACAGGGGATGATTTTAATAACAATGGATCTCTTTTATGGATAAGGATCTTAGAGTCCATCTGATGCCATGAAAATCACATAAACCTCAATAACTCGAATTTGCTTTGAATATTCTTTGTCAAATTTAAAACAATTCAGACATCAAAACAAAGCTCAAGTCCAATTTTTAGGTAGTTTTCAACACATTTTATTAAAGGTATTGGATTTATTATAAAAACTGCAGTCTGAAATTACTATTATTAAATTACTAATATTAATTTAAGGCCTCTGAAAACTAATAAAACCTACTTGCATTATTTACATTATTCAGACTGTTATCCTCATCTTCAGTGCCATATTCCCAACGTTTCGGCCATTGTACATTCCGGCATTCTTCAAGTGATTGGATAAAGATGTTGGTTAGATCCAGTGACTAGACCCAAAGAGCTGTGAGTTCAATACCAAGCCACAGCAGTGGTGAACCAAAAACTTAGAGAGTTGAGTTAAAGAGAAATAAATGAGATATCCAGAAGAGGCATGACACGTGGATCTAGAACACTCTACCCTGGTGGATGAAATTAAGGATCTGGTTGAAAATTCCAATCAGCTGAAGAAGGTGAGAGTGTACAACAGCTGAAACATTGTGAATATGGCAATGAAGATGAGGATAACAGTTTGAATAATGTAAATAATGCAAGTAATCATAATACCTCATCTCAGAGATATAGACAGATAATAAAAGCTATTCTTTTTTTCTTTTTTTTACCCTTCTTCTATATGATGTTGAAACATGGGTCATGGAAAGGATCTAACAAATGCTGAAAAACAAAAAGTTATTGAGTTAGGGAATGTCCATATTGGAGATAAAGGAGATTATGAAACAAAAATGGCTGTTGAAAATAGAAGTTCAAAACTGTAAGCAATGGAAAAAGCTTTAAGAACTTGTCTCCTCCAGGGGAATGTAAACTAAAGCAAGTTACAGTAACTTCTGACCAGCGCTGGAGAGAGAGAGTCTATAAGGACAAAAAGTGTAGAATACGTTACAAATTGGGATCCTGCAAGAAATCTCCAAGGCAAATTCCTCTCAGAAAAGCAAATATTTTAAAGTGTCAAAATTGGGCCAAGAAATATGTAAAAATTGACTTTTCTAATGTAATAAACAATTAATCAATAACCCCTCAGTATTTACCCAAGACCTCCCCACAAGGTAGGATGTGGCATTAGGCCATTTTTTTTTTTTTTTATGTTGGGCATTCCAAGCCAGTAGGCTCAGGCAACAATTGCCTGCAGGCCCCATATACATGGAGTTGGGTAGCTGTCTACCTCCCAAGAAAAGACTGCCCTTCAGCATAGCCTTGTCTGGGTTCCTCTCCGCCTGGAGGCAGAGAGTCAACAAGCAGAGTTAACTGTAATCATTAACTCCTCTCTCTCTTAACAAGAGAGAGTGCTGTTTAAATAGACTTAGACCAGCCCGTCTTGTGGGGGTGTTCAGCTACACCACAACATACTGTATATGTCTAGTCGCGATTGACATGATATTTCAGAAAGATGCTTTAAAAATTGAGTGAATCTCGTCTGATCCAGTAGCACTATCATGGGCTTTAGCTAGTGAGTCCTGTAGTTCAATTATGGTAAAGAGCTGACTGTAGTTTTCAGGGTTTGGGGGTTGGAATTTTTTTTGTTTTTCTTCTTTCTCGTTAATTTCTTGAAATCTGATCCAAATTTTGGGTTGACGAGTTCTGTGCAAATTTTTTCGGCTACTGCAAAATTATTGATGAAAAAGGACGTAGCGTCCTTTTTCATCAATAATTTTTGTTCTTTAGAATAATTTAATTTAATGGAGTGTTTGTATTTTTTACAGCTTTTTTCCTAACCATTCTCCATATTGTTTTGGCTTTTGTAGAGGAAATAAGCTTCCCCTTCACATACTTTTAGTGTCCTTTAATATTTTTTGAGCTTTTACTTTGCATGATTTGTATGCTATCAAGTTTGACATTGTTGGTTCAGTATTAAATTTAGCTTTCTTGCATTAAACCATGATTTTTTTTTTCAGTTTTTATTTCTTGAGCTTTTTGGAGGGCAGCTTCATTAGTAGTTTTGGCATATGGTAAAAAATTCAAAGCCTTCTGTTACTTAAAATATATAATACATAAATTAATTTTAGACAAATATAAATAATAATTGCATTAAAAAAAAAAAAAAAAATTCAACAACACTTACACACTTTCATTTATTAGACATTAAGTTACATCACATATGATCCTTCATAATTTACCTTGACTTTCATTTAGCATAATGTATCTTTATAAGCATTCTTAAATTTAAAAATTTTTAATAACATTTTTATTTCTGTTTATAAATACTTGTGATAAAATAAAATCCTTACATTTGCCTTGATAAAGTCCACCAGAGGACGAAACATTGGCTAAATATTCTTTTTGTTTTTATTAATATTGTCCTTTTAGTTATATCTGAATTTATACATAAACATATGATAAAAATACAGTTTTAAAGTATATTTGTGTGTTAGAGTGCTCGATATCAGAGATAGAGCATATGTAAATATAAAAGTGGACATTAAGGTCAACACCTAGTGGTGACAGCTTGTTTCATACTTAAGCACAATTGATGGCCTGACAAATGTGTTTAAGCATGAAACAGACTCACCACTGGATGTTGACCCCAATGTCAACACATCCACACACACATTATAAGATAAAGAACAAATAAGAAATGTTTGTAAATCTAACATGTCTTGCTTCCAGAAAAACTTCACCAGAGAATGAGATATGGGAAACAAATTTTTGGTATTTTTATTTTTTTTGATTTTCTTTGGTCAAGCAGACTTCACATGCATTTGACTCGTCAAGCAGCATTGATGTGTGTAAGTGTATCATAATTCCAATCTGTCTAAACATAATTTGGATGCTAATGTATACATCTGTGAGTAGGCTTTATTTATGTTTCGAGGTTGTCTGCATATTGTCTTCAGGATGTTTTTTTCATCAACAACATTTGTGGTAGTTAAACATATGTTAGATTTTATAAGAATGGATTTAATAAACCTTGTTGACATAATATATTTTTGCCGTGTGTTTATAGTTTGTAAAATTTATTATCAGGACTCCCTCAAAGTATTTATATCATAAAGAATTATGTTATTTCTTAATTAGGGTGG